GAGCGAATTTCTGACATTTGTCACATTTTCAAACATAGCTCTTAGCATTCTTTTGCATATACGACCACCAATATCCTTGAGTTATTGCTCGATGTGCAAGGGATCTCCCTCCTGTATGACTCTCACATATACCCTCATGAACCTCATAGAGCAAAGACTCCACTTTGTCCTCGGGAACACATAGCAAATGTGACTTCGAGAAGGATCTTCTGTATAACCGATGATCGACAGATATCCAGAACCTGAGAGCCTTGAGTCTGATCCTAGCCTCTCTGACATCCTCGGGGAGCATTCCTTATGTCAAGTATGTGATTATGGGGTTCATCCAACCTGAAGGCGCTTCTTGCATTTGCGTTGACAATACTTGCTCAGCTTTCTTTTATTTTATAGTCGGGCTTTCCCGGTGCAGACGTGTATGACGTCATACGTTGGAGGGGGCTAAACTGAGACCCTCCTCAGTTTAGCTCGGAGGGAGTTATACGTTGGTCTCTCCACAGTGCAGGCGTGTATGACGTCAATCACGGGTGCTGCTTCATGAGACGCATCGACCCCTTTCCCCCTCGAGCCCCTAAGAGCTCTTTTATTAATGAACTATCCCAGATGCCCTTCTCAGACCAGTTGCTCGAGGAAGGACTTATACACTCTGCAGTCTTCTTTCAAATGCCCTATATCCTTATGATAAGAACACTGGGATGCCGAGTCCCTTATTGATGGGTCTCCTTGCATCCTGGGGGGCCATTTGAAGAAGTGCTTGTTCTTTATCTTATGCAACATTTTATAAATGAGCTCCTTGAAGAATGTACTGACCCTTGAAAGGACAAGTGATTCAGGGGCAAGATGGGTGTCCCTCTCCTTGCAGGCGGTTCCTTCTCCCTTTTTCTCGGCACAGAGGCCTTATTCTTGGGCATGAGGGATTCTTCCTCCACCCGGGTCTACTTGTTTATTTAGGCTATCAAGTCTTTCATGTCTCCTGGAGCTATTTTAGTAAGTGATCTGTAGAGGTCGGTGTCTCGGGACAATCCCAGCCAAAATGATGCTGCGGCCATTGCCTCCGAGCACGCTTCGGCCTCGTTAACCTCCTCCCAGTATCAGATGACATACTGTCGCAGGGACTCTCCACCTCTCTATTTGAGCATCAGTAAAGCACCGATGTCTTTAGGCCTTTTACTTCTAGTGATGAATCAAGCTACGAAGAGCTCGATCATCTGCCTCCAAGATCTGATGCTCTCACGGGCAATGTTCTCATACCACTTCATGGTAGTGTCCCCCAAACTCAGGAGAAAAACTCGACACAGTATCCTTTGATTAGTGTCATAAATGGACATCAACTGCTTATACTGTCGTAGGTGACTCTCAGAATCCGTCATCCCATCATAATTTTTGAATCGGGGGACGGTGAACTTATTTGACATTTCGATCTCCTTGATCGCCCGTACGAATGGGGAAATGATTTGCTCGTCCTCCTCTCCATCTCCTCGGGTTTGGGTCTCCGGCCTCGGTTATTGAGGTGCGCCCGGGGGTCCCCTCGGGGTTTTCCTTCTCTCAGGCTCCTCGCCGTGGACTCCGTCTGGGACTCATTTGCCACGGTATCTCTTGGTAGCTCACGACGGAGCTCCCACCGAGACAGGCCCACCTTGTGGTGATCCCACTTCGATCCCTCCTCAGAAGCAGGCTTTTCTTAGCTTTGTGGGTTACGCCTCTCGGCCGTGTGCCCTTTCAAGCTTCCCCCGGGGGTATCTCGTCTTACACCCCTGGAGTCGCCTCGACTAAGACTCCGGTCCTCCCGCTCACCGTTTAGCCAACTAGCACTCCTCGACTACTGGAAACCATTGAGCCATCATCGTATCTTAGCATTATTCCTCTCAAGTTGCTTGATGCGCTTTCTCGTCCACTTCTCCACCAACTTAACGATATCATGAGCCAAAAGACCTTACCCCCCCAAGGCCTTGATCCACGGGGAATGTTCGTTGCGAGGAATGCTCCCCTCAGCCTGACTGGCCCAAGGGGCCTGATTCTGTGACTTCTAGGAGTTGGACAGCCTCTGCATTTCTCACGCGTAAACTCTCTCCCCCATCACCTTGGGATCGTGTGTTCACCATGATATAACCGTTACGGGAAGACGTTTGTGTACCACTACAACAAATTTGTTTTTTAGCAACAAATTTTGGCGACGAACAATAAAATTTGTTGTAAAAAAGTGATTTTTAGCGACAATTTCAAATGTTTGTCGTGGTAAACTTTTTTATGATATTTTTCGTGACCATTTTTTGTAGTCGTCACTAATAGTTTTCGCAAAAATGTTCCCTCCAAAAAAAATTGGCGCTAAAAGCTAATTTTATGGGCGACAAAAAAAAATTGTCGCCAATATAATTTTTCAGTCGCAAAATTTTTGTCAAATAACGAAAAATAAGAAAATAAAAATAATAATACTTAGTGACAATTCATGTTTGTGGCAGAAAAGAAAGTTACATTTTTTTTGTTTGGCAACAATTTATATTTGGTAGCAAAATATCACTACAAAAAAAACGTTTTACTACGATGACTTTTTGCGATGTGTAAGAAAAATTGTCACAAAAAAAAAAACATTCTAAAATGTGTAAGACAAACCAATGTCTTTAATTTTTGTCCCACATCGACAAATGAGTTAAGATTGAGAGGGCTGACTTGCCTATAAAAGGCAATAGACTCTTGCCTTTTTATTTTAGCCTTAAAGTTTGATTTTTATGTGAGATTTGATTAATTTTTTTTTTTTAAGATACGTACAACTGATAGTAAATAAAGTGGAGTATTAAAATTGTTGATATAATTTCTTTAAAATTAAACGGATTAAATGAGTTGTGTCGTGTTACCCATTTATAAAATTTGTTCATTTGTTATTTGGTATCGAAAATATGTTAGTCGCAAAAAATATACTTTGATTTTCAGTGACAAATATTATGTCATCACAAAAAAAAAAAATATGACTATAATATAATTTTTTTCTGCGACAAAGGTTTTTTTTTTTACAAGTAGATGAATTTTTAAGCGACTAAGTTTTTTGTCATTGATAATTTACTTTAACAACGATACTTTAGTTGGTCGTCAAAAACTTTTAGTGGCGAGCCTGCCGCGACAAATTGGCAACCAAGTTTTTTTGTCGCAGAAAATTTTTAGCTGCAAATTATTCAGTTTTAGCGACGATTTTTTTTGCCACTAAAATACATTTTTCTTGTAGTGTACCTTCCCACAGATGGCGCCAGATTACATGAGAGATTTTCTGCAATAAATTGAGATAGCGATTGCCTGTATGATGAACCTGAAACAACCACAAGGTCAGAAAAGGGGCCGGGTGAACACCTGACTCGTCCCCTCTGAAGCTTAAGTTAGTATAAGATTAGAGGCTTGAACACAATGCATTCTCTATTTCAGTTCTGTTTTGGGTACCTTTGTTCATTTTTCTGAAGAGTATTTATACCTGGGTTAGCAATGAGTGCAAAGGCTTTAAGTCTCATCTCAACATTTAATGTTTGTCACTCTTACCCATGCGCAATGAGTGTTCTCTACTCAAATCTTCGTACATTTACTGCTCGGATGATTGGACAAGTGCTCGGGGCCATATCGAGAACTTATGGCTATCCTCGGGAACTCAAGTTTCTCTGATCGACGCCTTCCGAGTGTTCAATGCTCGGGGAACAGTACCCTGGGGCACTCCGATGAGGTATACTCGGTGTAATAGTTATTAATGTCTAGCAATCATGACTGTAGGCTTAGGTCTTGAGAATATAGGGGCTCATTAGTAGTCCTGTCTCAATCACTCGCATCGTCATAAATGAGTGATCGAGTCATATTAAATGCGGGTGTCAATTTGTATACTCGACTCCTCCGAGCCATTACTCCTCGGCGCCTTTTGAATTCCATAACGGCTATACCTTCACACGTGTTGATTTGGGGGCTGCTAAGTCGCCTGAAACCCTGTCAGTTACCTAATAATGTTTCAGTCAATGATGTCTCGATAAAAAAATTCAACAGCTAATGTTATAATTTTGTTGTCAGATCATTTATATAATGTTACATGATATTGTGTTTTTTTACCCAGATCATTAGATCCGACCATTTATTTTACGTTTTAAAATTAAATTTAAATTTTTTAATCATAATAACTAAACTTATGTATTAAAAAATAAAAAGCACGGGATACCCTAGTGTTAAATATTAGGGCTGATCAAACTCAAAAATAGTGAAAGTCTTTGTCTACGCATTAATCGCTTTAAGTTGAGTTTAGATTGACTTGTTCAAAATTACTAAAAAAAAATCTAAACATCATATTTTAAAAATAAAAGTAGAAGTAGTGAAATAAGTGGTAAGAAGGTACAATGCATTTTGAGATATTGGCAATTATATTAAACCATATCCCCTTGAATGTGCCCTAACTTTTGATTCTGGTCCTAAAGTGCCAACATTTTCTATGGATGGTTTTAGAATTCTTTAATTCTTCCGTGTTTGGACACTAAAAGAGAAAATAATCATGCTTTGGCTTCTCTTTTGGCGATCCACCACTATTCCACATATCAAATATATTTTTGGTGACAATGTCAGGTGCTTTACTCATAGTGACCCGTCGTAGTTCTATTAAAAATTTTTTTGGTAATGACGAGGAACTATCCCAACTAGCACCCTTTGGACTTATAATTGTATCGCAAAATTTGAACGCATGTAATAATTTGCAAATTAAGCACCTTTTATGTGACCAAGGGTTTCGAACTCAAAGTGTAAGAGTTTATTTGTGGCTTCTTGTTCAATTATTAAACCAACTCATTGGATTTCTCTGATTGCAAATTTAAAGAGGCACATTAAGCTACAACAATAGGTATAGCCTTAATTAATTCTAAGGGTAGTTTAAGTGGTAATAAAGATGAGGTGTAAATTCAGATTTTCTGAAAACGAATATTGACAACTTCTTGAGGTCATGACATGAAAAATAGATCTTTCATAAATACCTTAGTTCTGAAGGGATAACTTGTCTTTGATCAGATCGAAAAGATGATTAATCGAGGTACGTGTAAACTAGTCTGGTGATTCCTAACCGTTGAAGTTTAAAAATAAAAGAAGCAATAGGTATGGCCTTAGTTTATAAACGTGAAGCCAGCTTTTGTTACTTCTTTATGAATTTGATGCATAGATAAGATAAGAAATCTGAAAAACTGAAGCAGGGGCCTTCAACAGAGATAAGGGCACCATTATTTGTTAGGCCACTAGCTCATTTGGGTGCCAAAAGGGATCAAAATGGAGACCAACAGAAGAAATTAAAGGTATTCCCTTTGATCCCATGATTTTGATCTTCAAACTATACCCATGCAAAACTCCCTTCTCAAGCCTGTGAAGCTTCTTGTACCCTACCGTGGTCCCACTAGCCACCCGGGCCCCGTCCACGTAAATTTCATGCCGTTTGATCCTTTGACCTAGGCCGATCGCCTCTTGAATCCTTACCACATTGAATTTCAACTTTTCATTCGTTGCCCTCAATTCAATCCAATGATCTTCTTTATCTTCATCATTCGGAGCCCAATATGTCCATAAATGGTCATTATCTATCACATTTTTGGGTCCGAAACCACCATTTTTACCTCCTCTTTGGCTACTTGCTTTGATGGAACATTTTTCAGCCAAGTTGGTGGAAAAAATGGTGTCAATTGCACCCTTAAATTCTTTCAGTCGGTGGACGTCAGTTTCCGATATCAGGCCGGTTGTATTTGGTGGTACATTAAGAAGCAACACACAATTTCTTCCCACGGAATTGTAGTAGATTTCAAGTAGCTTAGAGAGCTTTTTGGGTGATTGTGTTTTATGCCAAAACCAACCTGTTCGGATTGAAACGTCGCATTCTGCCGGCAGCCAATCAGTCCCTCTCGGGTCGCCAGTATTAAGATAACTACACCATTTATAATATAAATGTGTTAGATAGATAGTCACTATGTGTTTAAATGTGCTGCTTTATGTGTTATACCTAACACGGGATATATTCCCCTTTGTCAATCTTGTGTGCTTTTTGACAGTTGAGAAACATGGAAAACCCCGTGTCAAATATGAATACTAGTGGGAGTAAGTTGCAAATGAATCGGAGTCAAAATTGTTTAAGCTCAAATCGTTTATTCGCAAAAAAGATTTAAAGTCTCGGTTTAAACCATATCAAGTTTGAAAAATCTTGTTTAAACTCGACTTTTTTTTTTCTTGTTTTGAACTCAAGCTTAGCTCGACAATCATTTGATTAAATGAAACAAGTTCGAGACTATGTTTAAAATTAAACTCGAGTTTATGATCAACAACATAGATGAGGGTGGCCATCTAATTTATTAAATGAATTTAAAAATTGAGCTCAAACTTAGATCATTACGTAAAAAGAACAAGTTTTAACTCGACCAAAACACAAACTAAGTTCAAATTGTTCATAACAACTTATTTTTTCCACAATTCTAAATGAAGATAATTGTCTGGTGCAGTGGTAAAAGTGCCAATCTAACAACTATTGATTAATTTTAGTCTTGAATTGGTGGGTAGTTACTTTGTACAAATAAAGTCAAAGATTAGGGTTGCATGCATGTGTTATTTCCTCTCATACATCCTTAATCATTAGGGATCAAACTTGATAATGACACTTTTTTGTGTCTACAACTTGGAAAAATATATAATATCTCCTAGGTTAGGTGACTTACTAATCCGAAAGGTCGATTACTACAAATACTAAGAAAGTAAGCAAAGTTAAGTTATATATGTATATTCATGCTCAATCTAATACATCTCTTGCTTACCAAACTGGGTTTTCCATTTCTAAAAGCTAAGACAAAGTCCAATATTCACACTAAAGATTGGATTGGGGTCCGGAAAAAGAAGGGAAAGCAAAGACAAAGGTAGCGTTAGCTTGATAAATCATATTAATTACTTACTCAACTATGCTTCCATTTCCGATTGACAACGATGTTCGATTAATTGTGGACCAGCATGTGCTCCCAGCAAATCCGTTTTCATTTCCGACCCACCTAACACCCGGTCCGGCATCGGAGAAAATATTAATGGTGCTTTGTAATTCGTTCACCATTGAAAACCAGTCGTTAAAGTAGTAGGACATGTTTGGTGCATTTGAACCCTTTGCTCCATCAAACCATATTTCTCTTACGCTTCCATAGCTGTGAACAATCCCAAAATGGCATATGATGGTCAAATGGGAAAAAGGTTGGAATTTTGTAGAGACAATATAAATTTGAGCCGAATTAAGCTTTACTCGAACTAAGTCACATATTGCTCGGAATACACTCATTTACAAAACCAAAATATGTTGAGATTCGATTTATTTTATAATTTAAATTAGCCTAAAATACGAGTCGAGCCAAAGTTATCCGGATCCGATCTTTTAATAACCCACATAGTCTAATTATTCTATACTTACTTGTTGAGTAACTCTTGCAATTGGGCTAAGTAATATTCATTGTACTCCTTATTCCGACCATACCGACGATCATGGCGATCCCACGGCGAGAGATACAAACCGATGTCAACGCCACGAGCCTTCGCCGCATTGACAAGCTCCTGAACTACGTCCCCATGGCCATTTTTCCAGGGACTTCCTATCACTGAGTGGTCTGTGTATTTGGAAGGCCACAAGCAAAAGCCATCATGGTGTTTTGCGGTGAGTATCGTAAGAGAAACACCGGCCTGGACAGCAGTGTCGACCCACTGGTTCGCATTGAGGCCAGTGGGTATGAAGATGGCCGGATTTTCTTTTCCTGTGCCCCATTCTGAGTCTGTGAAGGTGTTGACACCAAAGTGATGGAACATTATGATCTCCCTTTGTTGCCATTTCAACTGAGAGTATGTTGGTAGTGGAAGAATTGGCAATGGTGGTGTTGTTACTAACTCTGGCTTCGAAAAAGTGAGTTTGAGAGGTAGGATAAACAATGTGATAACCCACAAAAAACTTGGGGGCTTGGCCATATTTCTCTCTCTGTCTCTCTCTCTAAGAATGTGTGCTGATGAGAGAGCGGTGGGGACTGAATAAAAGGAAAGGGGGGCAAATAAAATATGTGGAGGAATTCTTGGGATGGAGCCAAGCCAAAAGGTAAGAAAGATGTGAGAGAGATATCTTGTGACTGGAGTTTTGTTTGATTCTGATAATTGTCATGAAATTCTTCTTCTTGTTATATATGATGCAATCATTCACGGGTTGGCTTACATTGTATCTGTCTGTCTGCTTGAACCTTAGTGCTGGAAAGATTTAATGGGTTTTTCCTTGTGGAATTACTTGGATGGAGAGAAAGAGAGAGAGGATCTTGGATAACTGAAATAGTAATTACTCGGGATACCCATAATTCAAGATTGTAATTCCTAGAATTTATATAAGAGCAACGTTACATGAATTTAAAAATTTAATAATGTTATTGAAACATAATTGAATAATATAATTTAGGGACATAATGAGTTATCGCCAATGAAATGATAGTGAAATGTATTTAATGATGAGTCTCATTGTAGTATTAATAAATTCATTATCATATCATTGGTGACAACTCATTATGTCCTTCAATTATGTCCATAAATTATGTCACAGTAGTATTGCTCTTAAAAATTAGATTCGATAATTTCAACTATTGAATAGGTAATTGATTTCAATAAATACTGGGACTCACAATAAAATCAATAGTTCTAATTATCAAGTCTAATTTTTAAATTTATGTAGCATTACTCTTTATATATATATTCTAAGGGATCCAGATTACCCATGGTGTATAGATGAGAGACTCATTTATAAGTAATGAATTTTACTTAAATTTATGATAAGTGATGAACCATTGAACAAAAGTAAATGGAGAGTTTTTGAATTGTGTTTTTTTTTCAACTGTCAGAAGTGTTCGAATTAGTTTATGTGTATCTCGATTAATCTTCTCTTTAGTTCAGTTAAAATAGATTATTTACACTAAAATTAAGGTATTTTTGAGAAATAAATATCTCATAACCTAATTTAATAAAATTGTTAAGATTCGAATTTATAACATCAATTTCCAATGTAAAATGGCAATGTACAATCACATGGAAACATATTAAAGAACTACAAATTCTCGTACCAATACCTCTAGTGCCATTTTAATTACAGTAATGTTACACTGACCAAATTTTAGAATCAAATTTGAAGTTCAAATGACATGACATTTGACTTGAATTTTTTTATTTGGTGTCATGTTATTTGAGCCCTAATAAAAATTTCAAATAATATACTGTCATATCATTTGAACTCTAAATTTAATCTCAAAATTTGATCAGTATAACATTATTCTTTTAATTATAAAACCCACATCAAATCAAGTTTGGTGATCCATGTATTGATTGAACCCTTGATTCTTCTATTGATTTATTTTCTCAATTTGCACGATCCCTTCTCTGACTTTTTTTTTTGGATTCTCCAAGGATTCTCTTCTTTATTTTCTTCAATATTTTTCTCATTAAAAATAATGATTCAATTGCATCCAATTAATGCCCAAAATCAACGCCAACCACCGAAAAATCTGATTATTACAAAAAAAACAAAAAATAGAGGTCTGCGCACTCTTACATGACCAACTTAATGTGAAAGATCTCTTCTCCACTGGTGGTCAAATGTTACCTTCAACCTCTGCTAGGCCTTCTATCTAGGTCTTGGGAATAGACCACTATCATCTCAAGAATGGCTGTATATGAGGAGACAGTTCCTCAAATTAGTAGGGGATATTTAGCCGGTAAACGATTGGATATATTCATGCTCATCCCTTGGATTTGATTTATTTTAAGCTCAATTTGATCTCGTTTGTTTAAAAAACGAGCCTTATAAATTTGGTTCAAACTCTCAAGATTAACTCATTTATATATAAATTAGTTAATCTATTAAAGTTCGAGTAATTCTAGATTGACCAAAATTATAGACTAAAAAGAGTAATCAAATGATATGGCAACTGACCTGACGTAAAAGACGGCTGACCAATTAGTATGCCATATTAATTCACTTCTTTCCTTAATTTGCACAATGTGGTTATTCAACCAAGAAGAGTAATTGGTTAGTCGCTTTTCACGTCAGCTACCATGTCATTTGACCATTCTTTTTGGTCTCTAATTTTGGTCAGGATAACATTACTCTTTAAGCTCATGTCGTTTTGAGCTCGACTTGAGCTCACTTTTTAAAAAAATGAATAGAACTTAAACACTTTGCTACAGTGTTTTAAAACCCGGCCTGGCCCGCGGGTTGACCCGGTACCTAAACCGGGCCGGTTCAAGAATTAGACCGTTTGTGCATCAAACCCAGAATAAACCCATTGAACCAGATAAAAAATTGTTGAACTGTTCGACCCGGGCGAATTAAACCAAACCGGATGGTTCATTTAGTTTAGTATAAATAGCTGAGTTTTGCCCCTATTTGGCATTTTGCCCTAAATTGTCTTCGCCTCTGCCTCATGAACGACAGTTATCTCCAACGTGAGTTCCCAACTCTGCCTCTTCGTCTTCGGCTTTGCCTCCTGGAGTCCATTGCGCAAAGTGAAGAGAACAAGGTTTAAGAGATTTTTGGATAGGTTTGATCAGCTTGGAGGTTTCTTCAATGGAGAATTAGGGTTTGGTTTTGTGATGAAAACAACATCGATTTGGTTGGGTTTCTCGTCTTCTTCTTCTTCTTCTTTGAGCTTCTAACACGAAGACCTCTATTTTTGCTCTATTACTTTATTTTTGCATCACCTCTTTCTCTCTTTCTCTCTAAACTCTCTTTGCCCCTCTAAAATTTTCTGCAATCAAGGATTACAATTGGTGGTAGAGATTACTTTTACTCCTGTATTGTGTTTCAACAGGTAATTTTTGTTACTTTTACTCCTTTATTGTGTTCATAATTTTATCTCATTTCTCTTTGTTTAATTTTTTTTCGTCTATGCCTCTGCTTTCTAGATTGAAGTGAAAGAAATACAGTCTCTTACTCTCTCATTCTCGCAATTTCAATTTCAATCTTGATTGAAGTGAAAGAAAAGCCAAAGTGATTCGATCGATCAGAGCTCCATCAAGCATCAACGACTATAGGAAGTACATACTCTCTCTCTATCTCTCTCTGACTCTATGTTATATCTAATTTTTTGTTTACATTTTTGGTGTAGAGTATTGAAATATACATTGAATCTTTGATTAATAATGCTATATTTTATACTGAAGTTTTGATTTCATATACATTGATTGACTTTGAACTTTGAAGAGTGCAAATTACATGGATTATGCTTGGATTAATGCATAGTAGGAGAATTGAAGCTTTGAACTGAAATAGATGTATTTTTCTCTATTGAACTTTATAAGTTGTATTGGAAATTGAATGTATTGGATACATGTTTAATGATTTTTCTCTACTTGATTTTATATGCTTGATGCTATTTTTATAATTATTGTGATTTTTTAGCCTATTTATTAGTATTTATAATTATTTTTTATTTTTTATTTTTTTATTATATGTACCGGTCCGACTAGTGACCTAACGGTTAAACCAGTGATTCATTGACCCGATTCATTTGCCGAGTTATTGTCCAGACCAAGTTTTAAAACTATGCTTTGCTAACCGTTTTTAAAAACAAAACTTGAACACTTCGCCAACCGTTTTAAAAACACAAGCTTATCAAGCTCAAGCTATCACTTAAAGTTGTGCTTCCTTAAATTTGGGATACAAAATTTAGTAAACATAACATTACTTTTTTTCAAGTTACCAATGGAGCAAAATTCTTACCGGGAAAAAAAAAAAAAAAAAAAGGTTACCAATGCTCAGTCATAAACCACTGTTCCTGTATTCGTTGTCAAGGATATGGGTATGGTACTAAAAGAATTAAGGTGTCGAAGGATATAACTAAATAAACATTAATTATAGTTTATTTGGATCAAGTTATTATTGAATGGGGTCCAGTTAAGCCTCAATAAAGGTATGAAAAAGTATCTTTGTGAAAAAGTATTTCAATATAAAATACTAACAATTGTCCGTACCTGAAATCACGGTGTTACTCGTAAATTAGTTATAAATATTTATCCATACATAAATGTAAAGAAAAATATAACATTGTAGTAAACAAACAAAATGAGTCTGCTAATATTTTTTATAACATCAACCTACATACATAACATATATTTTCATATTAAACTGTTACACCACGAAAATTATGTTATAACTACTGAAATATAATAATTCAAACATCTGAAAAAATATATCAGTTAATAATATTCAATGTTTTATTTTTGATTCAAAATCCACGATTTTAATATTCATAATTAATTTTATCTAAATAATAACATAATTCATAACTAATAGAATGAAAATTATAACAATACTCTCACAAATAAACTAAGTCTGCAGATGTTGTCAGATGACCAAATATAACTATCATAAATTCAACGACTTCTAAAAGATACGACCTGACTATTGAATTTGTATGATTCGAGTTTATAGTAGTGTTTTTAATTTTATATCATTCATCTCTGTTATTTATATTCTTAGTATATTTTCTTAAACTAAACGTTATTTAGTATTGGATTATTTAGTAAAGATTGTTACTTCGTATTGTTCACTAAATATTAATTTTTTATGATTCGTATTTATAATATTGCTTATAATTTTGTATCGTTTATTTTGTTTGTAATTTTGTATCATTTTTTTCGAGTATTTAGATTTGAATTATTTAGTAAATATTGTTACTTTGTATTGTTCACTAAATATTGAATTTGTATGATTCGTGTTTGTTTATGAATTCAATCTTGAATATTTTAAATGTTAAGCATATTTTCTTTAATATATCTTTTGATAACTGAGTTGTTCAATAACTTAAATTTAATCTTATATATTTTACATGTTAAATATATTTTATTTGTTAAATTAGATTTTTTGCAAGTTATGCCTTTTTTTTTATTGATTATGGGAAAAATAAGATTGACTATTGAATTTGTATGATTCAAGTTTATAATAAT